GATCTCAGCTTTTTAAAACAGTTCTCTCTCTCTCTCACCAAAATAAGTGAAATTATTTCACATTTTCATCCTTCCCCAATTTCCATTTTTCATGCATATTTTTCATTCAAAACTTATTCCAACACTTGCAACAGTCGAGAGAAGTAACTAGGCAAGACCCACGAGAAAGAGAGGAGATAGGATCGATGCATGGGACAAATAAATGGCAAAAGGATTGGGGTGTCAATGTCTCACATGTGCCATCAATTATTGATGGCAAATTTTGGATCTAGAAAGCAACTTAACAGGATCTCTTGTGGAACTTTTTTCTTTTTTCTTTTACTGCTGTTTAGTGCGTTGTATAAGGAATTCTTTTGAGTCATTGGCAACACCATTACCATTAGTCATATCGTTGTTTCAGTAGCAACTTTGGGGCAATTTCATGTCCAAATTTGTTAAACAAATGAATATATATATATATATATGTTAATTATATATATTCTACTGCAGCAATCGGGTAATTGTTTTAATGATAATAAAGGGTGAGATTTTAGAATAATATTTATTAACTCTTAAATTCAAGTTTTACAGCCATGTTTGGCTTTTTGATTTGCTGATTGTTGATTATAAGTACTTGTTTATTAATTTCTTTTTCTTGATGGATATGAAAATTTATTTGATTATGATTGTAATTTTTATTATATATAGATGCAATATCATAAGAAATTACGTATTGCATTGTAGGTTGGACTTTAATGGGTAAATTAGATTAGGATTTAATTAGGAACCAACCTCAATATGAACTATATATATCTATACCATAATATAAAAGTTATCCCTCAATTGTAACAGTAAATAGTTATTCAATTGAAATTTCCATTGCGTGACACATGTTATTTAATAATTATCCTTCAATAAATTTTTGTTTTAAATTTTAATAGATCTATTATTATTATTTAAAATAGTTTCCAAAGCTATCAATGGTTAGTTCAAGTCGTAAAATAAAATTTTATTCTTTATTACTTAAGTTCGAATTCGTTGGAAGGCTATAAAAAAAATAACTTTTCATAAATTCAGTAGAGCCTATGTAAATAAACTTATTTAAATCGGTTTAGAGAAGAATGTACTTGGCAGAACACAAAAACCTTTTACCACTAAATAAAAAAAAAAAAGTAATCTATAAATTGGTAATAATGCCATCATTTCCAATATCATCACACAAGATTTTTGCAATATAGTCTTGAATCTTCAACATATACTCAAAGATCGAAGTCAGTCTCCCATTCCCGACTGAATAATAACATTGCAAGCAGCCAGCAGGTGGGTTTGGTAGCTGATAATGGGAGATTGACAAATCATCTTAGCTTGATTCCTGGAGGCATGCACCGACTTTAATTTGTAATCTCATCTGAAAGATACAAGTAATACTATATACTATTATTTTACCAATTGGGTTTCGATCGATTTACCATGGATAACTAATAATTGATAAATAAAATCTTCTCTCATCTCATCATCATAACAACAATCCTCCAATAATCCAATAGGGTTGACTTAATAATTCTGACCTTTCCTTAATTACTACTTTAGGTTGATCTTTCTTTTTTTTTTTTTTTCTTTTTATTTTGTTCATTACATTGCAATTATTACTTCTTTTACAAACCTTAATCCAATAAAATTACCGCTTGGACACTTACTTCTCCATCCATTTGGCTAATCGTGCCTCCTGCATGCTCCAAGAAGTTTCAAAATTTTGTGCTCCACCCAATTCCAAACACTAGAAGATTTCAGAAAGTAGCACTCAGATTAAGTGCTGAAGAAATTAAATTAATTAATTTAACATGCCATTTATTTTAATCTGGGTCAAAACGGCTAAAGCCTCAAACAATTTGTTTTTGTTTATCTCTTAGGTTAAATTAACATGTGGCTCAACTTCAAGAGGAATATAAATATAAATTAATCAAGGAATATTGTTGACATATGATTTAATAGGAATAAAAAAAAAAAAAGAAAAGAAAACAGAAAAGACTAACTAGCTAACCTCTAATTGGATGGACTTGAAACCAACAGAGGCAAGGAGAATTGACAATAGTGGTTCGAAAGAGAAGAATCATGGATATAGGCGTTTGTAGTGGGGTTGGATCGGATTGATCTTTGGAAATCTTTAGATAAGGAATCGAGTCATGAATTTAGAAAGAGGCCATAAATCTTACATTTTCTTGAGAATTAAAGTACAATTTAAAATATAAATGTTCTGAAATATTTTTTTTGAAATAAAATTGTAAAATTTAATGGGTTGAAGTAAAAATATTATACTAATTAGTATGGATTGTGACACTTATCATGTTTAATTTTTAAAAGGTTATTAAAATATTAATATTTTTAAAGAGGATCCTTTTATAATAATTGATTTTAATAAATTTAAGGGTGAAATTAATTTTTTTTCCTTTAGAATTGTCTTTTTCATTTTTTAAATTTATTAAAATAAATTCTTAAAAAAATGAAAAACTTTTTAATTTTAAACAAATATAAGATGATCACTTCTCATATTTGCAATATATATTTTAAAATTAAAAATTTTATTTTTATTCATTAAATAATATTTTGAACGGATCAAATTGAATTAAAATTTTAAAATCTTATTAAAATCTCCGATCTATCCGGTTCACCACAGATCTAATCATGAACTACTTGAGTTGCAGTAGTAATTAATTGTGGTGGGAAAAATGAGATGTTGCAATGAAATTAATGATATATATATTACATAAAAAGTAATGTCATAGTGGTACGGGTAGGTAATGGTATTAATATTGGTTTTGGGAATAGTGGATGATCTTACTTTCAAATCTATAACGATTATTAGTTCTATAAATTCATTTTAAAGTTGAATTGAATCAACTATTAGTTTGCAACCTTGAAAACACATTACATAGAAAGAGAGATTGTATATCCCACATCATCTTTAAATCCTCCGAGCTACTGGCGTTAAGTAATTAATGATGTATATTCTATCATCTCTTGAATCACACCTTTTTATTTATTTATAAAGTTACAAATACAAGTGATAATTAAAAATAAAAGCAACTATTACCATCCTGCATATAAAATCAATAAAATAAACCTAATAAACAAATCAATTCACAAAGTCATTTATGGTGAAACTTAAACATGATGTCCAAAGGTATTGAGCCTCCTCTTTGCCTTTGCCATTGAGAGGATACCTCATTGGTCTCTTGAATCGCACTGAAACTAAAGTAGCTTGGCATTGACTTGATAAGAAGCATCCAACTTCCCTGACTAGCACCTTATTATTGTAATTAACTAACTATATATATATATTGTATGAATAATAATTCCTAACATTTATACACCGAATATGGATTGGTCAGCACATTGTTGACTTACGTAGATTAATAAGGAATTACCTAATAGTGAATGAAAGACTTTTTTTTTTTAAATGAAATAATAAATACAAGAAAAGTTATAATTATATTATAATCAACCAACAAATTATATCATAATTAAATAATCAAATCTATATACGCATGCATATGGTGATCACAATGCTAAATGGAAAAAATGAAATTGGGGATTGTATAATGCACAGACGAAAACTACAGTACGGCATCGTGAGACAGAGATGGTTATGCCTCCACTTTATCCCAATGAATGGGCTCTGACTCCAACCACACTTTTGGGTTAAACCTTGGCTTCCCCGCATTGCAGACCCTGGCGGTTGGTTTTGCTGATCGATTTGATTATTATCTATTTTCACTGGGTAACTCCTCTTCTGGGCCACATCACAACCCTTTAATTTTGTGCTCTCTGACGACACCCGCACCTATCCTGCTTAGAGCCTGATTTAGGGTTCTATCTGCCCTCATAATCTATTCTCTAGCTCTCCCATTTATATACCTTCCTAATTATGCTTGTTGGTTGTTCATTCTTTGCTTTTGCTTCATTAGATAGCATTGCAAGTCTTAGCATTTTTTCATTTTTTCAAGGGAATGCCATGTTAAAATGCTTTTCTCTCTAATTCGAGAAAAAAAGTTTTCTACTTGCTGCTAGCTCTGCTACCCGAGTCTCCCTTATTTTAGGTGTGCCATCCTTCCTTTCTCAAGCCAATGTTTGCAACGTGATTCATTTGCATCTTTTTTCTTGGGTGATTGTGATTCATTTGCATTTTTCTCTCAAATCTCAACTTACTCAGTTTTTATTGGTAATTGTTAAAGGATACTAATTACAGATAGACAACCATGATACTAGACCGACTTCATTTTTTTTTTTTTTTTCATTTTCAAGTGTTTCATATTACTTATTGTTCTGGAATTATCCCTTATTTGCTTGACAAACTGTCAGGATACACCTAATGTAATAAAATATACATTAGTTAAGTTTTGGATTTATATAAGATTATATTTAATGTATTATTAGTATATAAATTTTATATGTTAACTGTTAATAAATTAAATAATATTATTTTATTAATGAATAAATATAAATTTTTAAAATAAATATACAAATAATTAATATATATTTTAAAAATTTATTTGTTAATAAAATGATATAATTTAATTTATCTCATTAATAAATTATTTAATTTACTGATAATATATATAATTTATATATGGACACTAATATAAACCAAAACCTATATATATTGTGAATTTACATTTAAACTGAGTTACTTATTTGCAATTAATTTTAGGTTAGACAGCACGTGTTGAAAATTTAGCCTAAATTGAATTATCTCATCTCACCTATCATTTGTTCCTTCGCTTTAAATTGCACCTTTCAACACTTCATTGATTTGGGACAATAAATTAAGAGATCATATATAGATCCTCTTGAAAAAAGAGTCCAATACCTATAGTCAATCATTAAACTTTGATCCATCCAATGAATTTGTGGACGTAACTGATGGGTTAAAGAATCCAACTATAAATTGAGAGACGTTTGGTACAAGCTATGACTGCTCAAACAGTACTCCACTCAAATTATCTCAGACAGTCTACATATTCTTTCTCTCATTTCAAATCTGGTATATGATTTGTTGTTCTTTTGTTGGAGATTATATATATTAATTTCTTGCTGTTTCGGATCTCTTTCAAGGCAGCAGCCTCCATCTTCTAATATCTTTTTGACCTCTTCCTTTATTCCAAGAGTATTTGTGTTCTTAGTCTTAGAAATTAGAATAAGTACTTCTTCATAATACAGTTCTTATGGTTTGATTGGCGTCCTCCTCATCCTTTACACAGAGGCTAGTTATCAAAAGTTTAATCAATTTTGTGTGCGTTTGATAAGTAAAAAAAATGGCAAGAATATGCACTGAACTTGTAAGGTTGGAAACATATATTGAAGAACTTAGCTAGCTAGGGACCATTTGCTTCAACCGTTGCAAATGAGGTTTGATCGTTGCAAGTAATATGTTGGAATTTAAATCTCATTATTTTGGATTCTTTGTTTAGTTAATTAGAAGAGATATCATGTGGGAGACTAATATTTAAATCAGAAACAATCATTAACTGATTATTAATTAGTGATCAGACACGGTCTTAATTTCCGTAATACTAATATTACCGTTCCTTCCCCAGCCACTCACTGAAGCTTGATTCTTCAACCTTGCTTCTTGAAATAGGCCAAAATAGTAGAGCAGGAGTCAACCAAGAATACTTTTATATAATTCGGTGCAACTCACGTGGCAGACAAGGTCTTGCTAGTCAGAGCAAAAAGATATATTATCCTCACTGCCTGCCATTTTTTTTCTGCTAGCTACCTCAAATTTCCACAAGAAAATTATATCTATGCGGATTCTATGGTCGTAAAATTAATTTCTCCTACTGCTTGCGTTATCCACTGCCATCACTATTGATGACTGTCGAGTGGTCATCGTGCCTTTTTCATGCTCTTTATAGACTATATAAACCAGCCAAACCAAACCACATCGCTTAGCGCCATCGTTTGTCTGGCAATTCATGTGCTTGCAATACCCTCATCATGGTGATTGCCATCTTTATCAAATCTCTCCTAATGATATGTTTGTTTTCTATTTCAGTTAATGACTTAATGGGTTTTTTGAAGGAAAAGGGATTCGAATCCTACCAGAGACACATGTACTCATGATGCCAAATGCTTGAAAGCAGCGATTTTTTTTTCTTTCTATATCTTAGATAAAAACTGTCATTCTATTCATTTTACACAAGCACTTATATAAGTTCGAAATGATTTACTATTTAATTAGCGGGTTGACATCTTTACTTTCCTCCATCATCTCTCTTAATTTGCCTGTAACACAAGAACAAATATAATTAGACATATGCTATAAACATAGTATTTATACATATATTTATTTATATAAGTTTTCTTCTTTAACTAATTCTTGTTCCAATAATAACTGAGATATTTTGCATTTGGGTTTTATTTCCTAGGGACAGAATATGATTATAGTAATGGTGAATTGGGTGCGAGAGACATTCATATTTTTCATTTTAGCAATATTTTCCAAGGCAATTGGCACAAATGCTTACTCGAGAAGAAGTGCACCAGCTGACAGTGTCCCTAACGAGTGCTTGAGCTGGAGAATGGCGGTGGAGACCAACAATGTGCGTGGATGGCGCACCGTCCCAACTCATTGCCTTGGCTACATTGAAACTTACATGATTGGCGGGCAATACGAGCAGGACGTTAACTATATCGTGGAACAAATAGAGAGCTACGTTAGGGATCTAGTTGTGGGTGGCGATGGCATGGATGCTTGGATCCTGGATGTTGATGACACCTGCATCTCAAATATCTTTTACTACAAGGGAAAGAAATACGGGTACTAATTTTAATTTGCTACCTCAATTAATTATTATCAAGGTTTAATTTGATCAATAGATCCTTCCTGGCTAATTGAATTTCAACTTAATTTGTGAGCCATATATATAGGTGTGACCCTTATGATCCTTCGGCTTTCAAGGCATGGGCAATGAAGGGAGGGTGTCCAGCGATTCCTGCTGTACTTGGATTGTTTACCAAGCTGATCGACAGCGGATTTAAGGTGTTCCTGCTAACTGGAAGAGACGAGGAGACGCTAGCCCCCTCCACCATTGCTAATTTGCATAACCAAGGATTTGTCGGCTATGAAAGGGTGATTTTTAGGTAAGACGCGTGCATTATTGGTACACCAACTTTTACTTTTCTTCTTTATATGATATGTGGGGTATTAATATCTTGGAAAGGTCAATGTCTCTATGAGGAGAAATTTCCAGGAAGCTGACGCATGGACACAGAAAGCTAACTTGCTTGCTTTGAAACATTAAGAGAAGAAGGTCAATTAGATTCCAAAAATAATTTGGAAATGAATAGTTGCAAACACATATTAATTACTTAACACTACTTCCAGTTAGCATAAATTTCAGATACTATTTATAACATTTGAATCATAAATTACAAAATAGGCTTAGCTAATTAAGTTTTATTAATTTAATGCTGCTTATAGTTGTGGAATTTTGTCATATGTAGTCAACGTTCATGCAAGTCTTTATTTTATTATTATTATTGTTATCTTAATTTGGAGTTATCAGACACCCAAATGTTTTAGATAAGGAAAGACACATCGATTCAGGTTCCTCTTCATCCTAAGCTGCCAAACCACGCAACTTGACATACCTGTCCGGTCTTGAAGTGAGAATCATTGTTAGCCAAATTACTATCATGAAGATTGAAGTGATGGGTATATTTGGAGGCTAATCAAATCACTGAGACATTTAAACCAAGTAATAGATTGATTAAAATCGTTTTTAATTTGTTTTTGTTTCTAAATTAACAGGACCCAACCTTTCAAAGGGAAAAGTGCGGTGGTTTTCAAGTCTGAAATTCGAAAGCAATTAATGGAAGAAGGGTACAGGATATGGGGGAATGTTGGCGACCAATGGACTGATTTGCAAGGAGAATGTTTGGGCAACCGAACTTTCAAACTCCCGAATCCAATGTATTGTGTTCCTTAATGAATCCAAAAACAATAGGGAATGCCCCTGCCTCCGCCTCTGCCTCTGCAATAACACTTGACATTGGCCTTCTCACCAGCAATGGGCTTCTTCTTCTTCATGTTTACTCGTTGACCAAAATCTCAACCTACATTTGACGTGTAATCCTTGGTCACAATGAATTAATTAATGTAACAATCATTAACCATTTATAGAAAAAAAAAATAAAGAGAGGAGCAAATCAATGCTCACTTGGTATTTTCAAATAAAAAGAAAAAACTATTCACACCGATTAATTCAATTGATAAGAATTTTGTTATTAATCACGTAGGATTAAGCTCAAAGCAAACTTTCGACCATGTTAAAAAATTGTTTATAAATTTCAAACTAAAGATTACAAGAGTTGATCCATGTTTCATTAAAATATATTTATAAGAATTAAAAAACTAAAATTTTAAAGTGAACATATACGATAATTAATTGGTATATAGAAAAATAATTTTTTTTCATTTTTTAATAAATAAATTAAAATATCATTCAAAATTCGGAATCATTCAAGGTCCAAAACAGAAATAAAGAATTTGGCAGGAAATTTCGCCATAGACAGGGGAGGCAAGCAGTTTTGTTAGCTTCCCAACGTACAGAATTGACTAAATAAAAAGAAAAAGAATCTCATTCTCATTATAACTTGATAAATCCTATTTGATTGATTTGTTATTAATTAAAAAATCCTTAGCAATCAATTAGCAAATTAAAAAAAAAAAGAAGAATGAATGATGGAGATGTGTCAAGGCAAATTCAGCAGATGGTGAGATTCATCCGCCAAGAGGCTGAGGAGAAAGCCAATGAGATTTCTGTCTCTGCTGAAGAGGTTGTAATTGATCTTCTTCTTTGTTTTGATATATATATATATATATATATATATATATATTCACACACACACACACACATGCACACACACACACTAGTATTTTCCTAGGCATGCATCCAGCTAATAATTATAGACCTGTACATATAAGAATCAGGAATTTAACATTGAAAAGCTGCAAATAGTTGAAGCTGAAAGGAGAAAGATCAGACAAGAGTATGAGCGGAAGGGAAAGCAGGTGGAAATTCGCAAGAAAATGTGAGTATTTTGTTATATATATATATATATATAAATAAATATTGATGAAGTAAATATAATTGAGTGCTTGCAGTGAGTACTCAATGCAACTGAACGCGTCGAGAATAAAAGTGCTTCAAGCACAGGATGATTTGGTGAACTCCATAAAGGAAAGTGCGAGAAAGGAGCTGGTGCGTCTCTCAAATGACAAAAGGGGATATGAAAACCTCCTCAAGGCATTGGTTGTTGAGAGTCTGGTGAGGCTGAGGGAGACAGCAGTGTTGCTGAGGTGCAGAGAGGTCGATCGAAAGGTGGTTGAGTCGGTTTTAGAAGAAGCAAAACGAGATTACGCTGACAAAATCAAAGTAGCAACCCCTAAGGTTACCATCGACAATGTCTACCTTCCACCGCCTCCCACCAAGGCTGATTCCCATCAACCTTACTGGTACGTAATATCATTTTCTGCCTTCCTGCCTTAATCGGGAGTAACATGAAAACCTTATTGTTTTGCTTGGTTTATACATGCATGAAATATATGAAATAGCTCGGGCGGAGTTGTGTTGGCTTCAGAAGACGGGAAGATAGTGTTGGAGAATACTTTAGATGCACGCCTGGATGTTGCTTTCAGACAGAAACTACCTCAGGTCAGGTCTATATTTACTACTAACCATACAATCAATATTCACCACTTATTACCAAGCTTTCTATTTTATCATTCTTCGACTTCAAGCCTATCATTGTTGCCCAAAAAGAAAAAAAGGAAAAAGAATGAAAGGAACACATTACATATATATATATTGCATTATATAATATACAATCATAGATTAAATTATATATATATATTTATATATACGAACTTGTGATGAAATTTTTTGGTTTAATTTGTTATTTATGTTATATATTCATGCAGATTCGAAGGTGTCTGGTGGGACAAGGAGGTGCATGATCAATTTCTCTTGCTGTATATGGATTGCATATTTCAGCTAGCCTTCATGATTTTGAAGACATAGGTTAATAATGTTTCATTTGATCAGAAAGTAGTCCTATCAATCACAAAAGAATAAATTTGAGAAAGTAGTATATGCTACTTACTTTCTCCAACCCTTTGTCAATTTGAACTATGTTCTCTTCTCTGCTAATAACTTTGGAATAAACTAACTTAATTTGGCTGCTTCTATATAACATGTATTACATATCCGAAAGCAGCCTCAGGCCCTTTTTCCTGTTTCTTTCTTATTGAGAGGCCCGTTTCATGGTGGGCTCTGGGATGCTAAGTTTGGACAAATTCAGGATAGGTATTGAAGGAGCCCATAGTCAAGTCAAGGCTGAACATAGCACATTGCGTTAACCACTTACAAAAAACATAAAGACGATCGCCTATTGCAAATTGTCATGTCAAGAAATCAATTTTCAAGTTCTTTTCTATTCTATCCTATCCTATCTTATCCGTATGTATTTCCAAGGCATTTGTGCTTTCTGATTGGGAAAAAGAATATCTACTTTTGCTAGAATAGCTGATCATGACATGATTGTGCCCTTGCCGTGTAAATAGAGACATTGACGTGGAAAAGGGGGACTTGGCCTGCTTTGTTACATGAAGGGTCTTAGTGTTAACCAACCAGCAACAACTATTTAAATCAAATGAAGTCCAGATTGAATAGATCTTATCATCAAAATAATATTGTATTAGTTTTAATTTACGATATCATAAATTCTTTTAAATGCTAGGTGAGATTTGTCAACCAAGTACTTGGAATCTTTTCCCTCCCTCCCACGGAAAATAATTGTGACTTTATAGAAAAATTCCACGGAATCTTCAATGTTACTTTCTAATAGTATACATGCAATGCAGGGCCAAGTTCCTGGTATGGCCACGGTTGTGAAGCTGATAAGGACTCTTCTACATAGGGATGGTAATATAACACTTTTTGCTGATAGTCAAGGTATCAAACCCTTTAAATTTAACTTAATTGCGATGAAATTAAATTGAATTCCAATCTGAAAGGTTAAACCAGATCGGCCCTTTCGTTACTGTTGACAAGTTATACCATATGTTTATATGTATATAAATTGTTGAATTGCTTCAAATAATTTTGTTATATTTCATTGCAGTCGTGGAATTATGGGGATTTAGGTTTTGAACCTGATCCAGAGGGCATTAAGGGTATATATGTTTTGGTATCCAAGATATTTTTAGGAAAAGAATTAGCAGTTACTTCAAATTGATGCTTTCATCATGTTGTATCATCTATAAAGACCTAACAGGGGCTTGGGTCGTTAGAGGCGGGAATCTGTATGTGAGTCAAGTATTAATCATATGTTTGTTATTGTAACACACTAAATGTGAATGTTTTTTGTTACTAAGTAATCCATTTGCAATGGATTTGCAATATCGATTATGTTAGGGGGTCATTTTTTCTAGTCTTTATCATTCACTATTAGACCAACTCAATGCATGAGGGGTTTTCTTTTAAAGCCTGAAAATGTTTGAAATATATATTATTTTATTTTACTAATAAGGTTGTGGCTTGTGAAGTTGGATATTAAGGTTATCTAAAAACTAATAACTAATTGAAAGTGATGTTACGGAACCGTTTACTTTTTAAATTTTGCACAGCTGAATATCATTTGGGATTTCTCTCCTTCAAATGAACTCATAAAGAAATGCATTGAGTTCATTTGAAGTAACAAGTAACTACATTTGAAAGAACAATTCATGTTTGATGTACGAGTTTATGTTGGGTAATATATACTTCACTGACTCAGACACTGGATTAGGTTCATGCTCATGGGTTTTAAAAGTTTAAAGAATAACATTTAGCGATTGAATTAATAAAATAAATATCATACAAAACTTAAAAAGATATAAACGTGATATAAAATTAATAATTTTATACTAATATAAATTGATCTTATCCATATTAATATATCTCTAAAATTTTATTTCTTGTAGAAGTCCACATTTGAGTTTTGACTAGCAAAAGTCAAAATTAATAATTTGGGAAAGAGTTAAATTGCAATTACAGTGCTTGACTAAGATTTAAAAAAGAAAACCTTAGGGGCATGCAAATTAAAAAAGATGATTATCACGTTATAGAAAAACAACTTGGCGAAATTTTGGTGAAGGTCTTAATTTGTTCATATCACAGTCTTAATCTATTCTAATTGCTCACAAGTAAACGTGTAAATCAATAATAAATAAATAAATTAATTATTTTAAATTTTGGTAAATGTCTTAATTTGTTCACATCACTGTCTTAATCTATTATAAATGCTCACAAGCAAACGTGTAAATCAATAATAAATTAATTAATTAATTGTTTAAAAAAAATAATAAACAAATTGTGATTTTTGATTTCAAGACTTAACCAAAATATAAACTTTAAATCACACAAGAAATTAACTGCATTGTTATGTTCATTTACTAATTTATTATGATATTAATTTCATGATTTATTGGTGAAGTATGAAATTTTCAATCTTTTCTTTTTAATGAATATTCTTTTTGTCATTTATTTTTATAATACTTACTTTAATTATTTTTCATTCTATTGACTTTGAAAGTAGAATAAGTTTCATAGAAATGTTTTGAGAAAATCTCCTGCAACACTTTGAATTGTACTGAAAAACCTAGCATCTAAGATGTTCTTTAGTCATTGAAACTAAAAATATATTATTTTTGTGTTGAGCATTGGATTTGTTGTGAAGATGTTGTTTTATAGTATGCATGATGAATTTTCAAGATTTTTTGTGACATTGATGTCTATTTGTTAAAGTAGATTAATAATTACCTCATGTTATCCTTAGATAATTTTGTAAAGTTATACCAATAATTGCTCATGTAATCAATCAATAAAAATATTTAACACTTTATAGGACTTTAGTTGTTTATAAAGATTTTAATTACTTATATTTCAATTTAGATACTAAGATTATATTTTGTGAACCTTTATGATGATGCAATTACGGTTAAAAAAATGAACAAAGATCATTTTTTTTATGTATTCTTGTTTAGATGTAAATGAATACATTAGTCAAAACTTCCACGATAATATGGATAAATTTATTGAATATACTTTTTCTCAACCATTTTTTGTAAGTAATGGGAATATTAGGTGTTTTTATGCCCAATGTGAGAACAAAAGATTTTTAAAAACGGATGCTGTAAGTGAGCACTTTTATTATAAGGGATTTACTTTTGATTATAAGAGTAAGGTCTCACATGGAGAGTTAGAAATAGGACATCCATTAATAAATAGAAACAACTTTGAATCAATTAATGAAGTAAGAACAAAAAATTTGTATACTAAAAATGGTTATGGATATTGCCTATCTTGATTTTGGGGTGGATGCAAGTGAGATAAGAGTTGACGAGGAAGATCCAAGTGCAGATGTGGCAAGCTTATAATATTTGTTGAATGATGTAGATGAACCATTGTGGTCAGAATGTACAAAACACACAATCCTCTTAGCTATGTCACAACTTTTAAATTGTAAATCAGAGTTTAATATGGGTGAATCATGTTTTAATCATCTGATGAGCATAATGAAAGATATGTTGCCGATGGATGATAAATTACCAAAAAACTCCTATACAATGAAAAAAATGAATAATGAAACTTGGATTGGGTTATAAGAAAATTCATGTATACGAAAACAATTACATGTTGTTTTATAATGAAGTAGTAAATTTGACATATTGTTAGTATGTGATCATCCTCGATATTTAATGAACTTAACAATCAACACTCCAAAATGGAAAAAAATTATTTACTCACATCTGACAGACAATTCTCCTTGTTGATTTTGTTGTTACCCTTCACTTGGAATCCTTCGATTTGTCTTTTCTATATAAAAAAAAAAGAAGAGAACTAAGCTTTTATTTTTCTTTCGATTAGTCATGAACCAAAAATAGTAAAATAAGTTAACCCTATTAAGAAAATTAGGTTATTTATCAATAGGTCCTATGCATTTTTCATTCTTTATTAAAGAGTTCCTCCACTTATAAAAGATACTTAAAATAGTTCCTCCTTTTTTAATGGTATAACATACTATATCAACTTTTTAATGCATGTTGCTAGTAAGTTGACAATTTTTTTGATTCGTAATTTACAATGATAGAATATTTGATGATTTGATGAAAAGAGAATTTAGAAATATAAATGATGCAGAATTGAAGAAAGCATGTGATGTAAGATTTCCACAATGGTTAAAACAATTTGTAAGTTTTGAGCATAATATCAAATATGAATAGAAATTATATTTTTGTATAAATTTAAACAATGATCAATTTTAATGTTTTATGATTGGATAGGTTGAAGAGCAAAATGGTGAAATTGATCATCCTCTAGTTGAGATAGTTTATAGCCTTAGATACATGGTTAGGCATTTCAAAGGTTACTTTATGAATGATTTTAAGTTTCATACAACTATGGCCAAACTCGAAAAACAATGAATTGTAACATATGTGTGAAAGGAAGTTGTTACAATGATTATGAGCGTGACTTTTATGGTATCTTAGAAGATATAATTGGGTTAGAGTATTTTCGGATAGAAAGTAAGGTTATAATTTTAAATGTCATTGGTTTAACATAGAGAAAGGGGTAAAGGTAGATCCCCGTTATGATCTTGTTGAAATTAAATACAATGCAATGTTTGCTAGCAAAGAACTATTTATTTTAGTTGCATAAGTGCATCAAGTTTCCTACACTAGTTATCTTTTTAGAGGAAGATATCAGAATGATTGGTAGGCAGCTTTCAAAATAAAAACCAAGAGCATATATCAGCTAAGTAATATTGATGGAGATGAAGAACAAAAAACTAATTTAAATGAAGACTTATACCAAGAAGTTGAAATTTTTATTCTACGAAATGTGACTATCTTATAAGAACTTGATAATCCTACAATTTTTATTATTGGTGATTATGAAGAGATAGATTTATTACAATCGATTCGAGAAAAAAAAAGATGATGATGGCCATTGTAGACACCTAATTTTGTCCATATTACCTGAAATAGGCTTCGATTTCAATTGAGTGAATCTTACGTTCATTGGACTTTGCTAGGTTTGATGACAATTGGACTTAAAGGGTCTAAATTCTATGTTAATTCTGCTTAAAAGCCAAAATTTTAGCCATTTAGCCTCAAGGCCAAAATTTATGTGAGGCCTAAATTTTATGTCAATTGGACCAAGACAGTTAAATTTTAATTCAAATAATATTTTGTTTTTATTTTACTCTTTTATTTTATTTTATTTTCTTCATCTTTATTTTATTTTATTTTTATTTATTATTTTTCTCTTTTTTTTGCTTTTTCTCCTTCTCTTATGTTTTCACTAAGAGTCTTCGGTGCATTAAATGCACCTCATGCGCAACTTGCTAACTAGCCAAATAGGTTTAAGATTTCAGTTGGCCACTAACAGTTGGCAGCTACCTTGACAAATTGCTTAACTTTGAGTTTGAAATTCCACCAATATCTCAAAAAATCTAGGATTTGGGGTTTGTTCTTGGCTTTATAAATATAGCTTGCCAAGAATACCAAAAGATAGGCAAAAGAGATTTAAGAAGGAAAAATTTTGTCGAAGAAAAAGAGAAAAAAAGGAAGAGTTTCTTTTAAGGGGTTCTATGAAAGCAATTTGTCATAACGTATAGATCCAGAGATCTATCGCTAGACATTGACTTGAAGGAGTTGCCACCAATATTTTATTAGGTGTGATTGGTCACCTAGGGAATCTATCATTTTAAGGAACTCCAAAGCTTAACTAAGGGTCATTAAAATAATAGGTTCGGGTCTACTAACCAGAACATGGTTCGAGAATTTGGTTACATGTAAGAAAGGTTATAGCACCCCCATATGCCTATCCCAAGGATGGTACCATATTATTTCAAATTTATCCTAAGGTTTGGAGTCTAATGGTTTCAAATTTTATGTGAAATATTAAAAATAATTTTTAAGATTCTCCAACAATCTGGTAAAACTTTTAAAAATATTTCCTCACCTCAAGAGTATTCAAGAATTCCATTTGATTTCTTGAAGAGGCTCTGTCTTTGGAAAATGATTTATTTTTTTATTTTTATTGAAATAAATCTAATTATTCCATCATTTGGGCCAAATTAAAAATATTTTTTCTTTTGAATTTCTAAAATTTCCACCATTTGGGTCTATTTAGAAATTTTCTTTTTCTCTTTTTTCCTTGGAAAGAGAATAATATGACAATTATTTTTATTAAAATTTCATCTAAATTATTCCATAATTTGGGTCAAATTTAGAGAAAATTTCTCACTCAGAGATTTCTTAAAAATTTACCATTTGAAATTTCTAAAAATCTCATCCTTAGATAATTATCAAATATTTTCAATCCAAATTTTTATGTGGAAAAGAATACAATTACTTGTATTGAAATTTCATCTAAATCATTCCACCATTTGGGCCAAATTTAGAGAAAATTTCTAACCTAGAGATTTTTTAGGAGTTTACCATTTGAAATTTTTAAAAATCTCATCTTTGGGTAATTTGTATTGAATTCCAAAAAATTTTTATATTTTTATGCTTTTTTTTTTAATTTTTTTGTTTGAAAATATATATTAATTATTGTTATTGAAATTTTATTTATATTATTCTATAATTTAGGACAAATCTAGACAAAAATTTTCACCTAGGAATTTTATAAAAATTTTCATTTGAAATTTTTATAAATTTTATCATTAGATAATATTTATTCCCAAAATTTTTATTCT